CGTTATTATATAAACTACTAATCTTTTCTATATATTGAAAGTAATTGAATTGATGTGATTAAATTGAAAGGAATTCATAGATACTAATCAATATTTCAGATTGTTGACTTAAAATCAAAGAGAGTAAAGAGTTGTGAATTTAGGAAAAAGAAAATTGAAATTAGAATGAGACATAACCTAGAAATATMTTGCTACGATGACACAATAATCAATTTAATTATAATAATAAAATATAATTAAATGGCCAATATATATCCTTGCAAGAAACAAACTCAAGAATTCAAATAACATCATCTAACCTTCAAAAATCATTTACGGACTAAGTAAGATAATAATAGATTTTGATTGGATTAGTACAAAGTATTTTATTGAGTAATCAGTCTCTTTGTATGCATCTAAAGTATGATATTATTTGAAAAATATTCTTAATTTTCAATTTACGTGAGACTGAGGCCATATTTACATGTCGATATATTAAAAAAAATCAAGACTACAATGTCATTAATATTGACTTTTTCTAAGGATTCCTAGGAGGAAAAAATATGAATTTTAGAGAAATTATTTAAGATCCATATGGTAAAATATTATTTTTGATTTCAYGTTTTTATAAATTAAGCTTATAAAAACAATTCATATCTATATTTAACGTTGTTTATATAGTTTTTCGTTTCTTGAAATATTCTTTTTAGCATAGAAATTTTAGTGAAATTTCAAATGTATATATTAAGAACTACTATTTCCCCCAATTTTTTTAACTTTTCCCATAACTAAAACAAAGAAAAAGATTAACAAATAAGTATAAATTTTGAAAACAGAACAAAAACTATCAAATTTATCTCAAATTTCTTATACAATTTCTTGTGAGCTCAACTTAATTAATTATTCATTACTATGTCATGAACAACACCACTAAATTCAGATAAGTTTTTCCACTACCCCAATTTCAGAATAATATTAAAATATTAATTAATTAAAAAAAAACCTAATTCGTCCGATAACAATTTCAGAATAATACTAAAATATTTAAATATTCATTTAAAAATCCCTTTTTCGAGATCCTACCCACCAAGTGCTTAATAAATAATTAATAAAATATGCATAAATTTMTATTCACATATATTTGTGTTTAGTCATCTCTATCACTATCATAAGAAACTCATTACTTCTATCACCTCTCTTTTCCTTTTTTATTTCCCATATGTATTTATTTATTTATTATAATCCATTTCTAACTATTATTTATGGTTGAAATTGAAAGATTTAATTATAAAGAAGGAATAAGAACTAAAATAAAGAGGAGCATGTATAGCCTAACTTGTCTAACTTAATAAGTTGTAAATTTATTTGATTTTGAATGACCTTAATTAGATGATAATTTAAATCAAGTAGTCCATGTGATGAATAAATGAACAAATGAACGTACATGGTAATTTGAATTATTTGAATATTTTATCTTTGGAAAACTTACCAAAGATAAAATTAAAGTATATTTAAGCCAAAAAGATTTTTAGATATTTTGATGCATGAAAAATTAAATCTCTCTAATCATTCCAAACAAAATTTAAAAAGAAAAAACAACTTTAAATATATAGAACTAAAAGTGAGAAAAAAAAAAAGAATTGGTACATTGGTATAAAAAAAAAAGTTGAAACTTTTTGTCTAAGCAGCTAATTAGTTCAATAATCATTTAATGACCAATGTGATCTTTCTTCCAAGTGTATTTAATTTGAACTTAAATTAGGAAAAAGAAATTACAATAACCCTAACAAAATAATTTGACTTAGGGTTAGATAATATTGATTGATTATTTCTAAAAATAAAATATTCTAATTAATATGCCCTGAAGAACCACTCCTCCTATTTCATATAACAATAATATACTACAATGTCTCTTGACTTTGTGCCTTTTTTCATTAATCAAATTTCAAAGAAGGTTAATTAGGTTAACATAATTTATACCTAATATTTAATACAAATGGAGAAACTGATCCAGGTTAATTGTTCATCAATTATATCTTAATTATATTTAAAAAAAAAAGATAATTTTAAGCTGATTTTTTTCCAAGTTAACTGTAGTAACTTTCAAGAGGGTGACATTATACGCTAGAGCATATAACTAATTCGGTGTAAAACATATATTACCATTCCCAAGTCGATAGTTCGATCCCTACCCAAAATTGTTGAGCGGATTAAAATGAAAAAACAAAATGATATTACACATTTTTGTTTTTCTCTAACAATTATTGAACTGAATTTTATTTTTATTTTTGTCAAATGAGAACAATAATAGGTTTGGGTAGAAATMTCTGTGTCTCTTTGTTGTTGTGCCTACGTGATTTTATTAAATTTAGTAATTGGAAAAAGACTCCCAATTACTCATTCAAAATTCTCCAAGAAATTTTACAATTGATAATGATATATAGCACCAAGAAATTAAACCATTCCATGTGGAAAAGAATTTCCCCATGCATATACCTAATCCACATTACATCATATAGTAGAAGAGTATTGTGAAGATTTGAAGTGGTTAGCTATTTTTTTTTTTTAAATCAAGAGGTTAATATTAAGATAATTTTTAAAAATTTTAAAATAGTTTAGCCAGAAATTTAACAAAATGACCAAACATAAATATGTATTTATACAAATATCATTTTTTTTTTCAAAAAGTCATAAATGTGACTTTTAGTTGGTCTCACGTGATTGTATAAGTTTGCCATTTATGAAATTGTTATAAAAGTTTAAACCTATGTATAAATGTATATATTTCTTTATGCCATTTTTACAAGATATTTTATCTTAAATGGTCTTTTTAAAGGATTATTTATCTWCCTATCAAATAAAATACTCTATTTTTGTGGATATCTTTTAAAAAAAAAAAATAATTTTGAAACTATAAAAATCTTAGTAGTACAAATGGAAAGTCCAACTTTAGGTACAAGACCATCTACCCAAGATATATTCTCACATGAATGGTTTGAAATTCCATCTTTACGAATAGCCAATCACACCGTGCCACTTGTCGTTAAATTAGTGGCAAAATATGTTCCATTTTACAAATAGGAGATGGGTTAGCTAAATAATTGGTGAAACAAAGATTTTTAATTTTTTCTTTGGATAAAAAATTTTTCTTTTATTTCTCTTTGAAAATTAAATACATTCTTCTCTTTAGGGCTCAAATTGTCAAGCCGACTCACCCAATTGTAAGTCTTTTTCATTTCTCTATCTCAAAGTTTTGGTTTTGAGAGAGCGGTTTGAGTTTGGAAATTTGGTAGTCAATTATTTAGTTCAGATCGTGTCATGACTTTTAGAACTTCATACTTGTTTTATTTTTTTACTTTGAGTTCTTTCTAAAAATTATGTTAAATTTCTTYGATGCATTTTAATAAAAGTTTTACGTGACGTCAAACGATTGTTTTAAGAGATATGTATTGAGTTAATTTGGTATTGAATTTTAAAAATGAATAATCTAAAATTTATGTTGAATCCAATACAAAAATTATGGTGAAGACTGATGAATGAAAATTTAGACTCCTAATCTGTTGAACTATGCTCAAATTGATAAACTAAATATTTTTACTCTTCATATTTATTAATTGGTTTATTGGTAAGTCATCAATCAAATTTAAATAAAATTAGAATTAATGGTTAAATTCAGTTGGATTTCAAAATAAGACTAAAATAGAATGAGCATAAAAATTTTAAAAATTAAATTAGTATTTGGATCTAAGTTTTTTTTTTCTTTTTAGTTCAACAAATATAGATAGAAAATCAAACTTTTAAATGTTAGAGAAAGCATTGCATTATTGATTAATATTGCAATTTCAGTTCAATTATTTACGTATTCATCAACAAGCTACATTCAAATATTCTTTAGAAAAAAAAGAAAAAAAAACTTCATTAAAATAACGATTTGGAATATAGGTAAATTTATTTTATATTTTGAATAATACATTATTTGAAACCACCAAGATCTTTAATAACTTTATGTASGGGTGAGCAAARGAGCCCGAAAAACCGAGCCGACCGACCGAAACCGACCAAACATAAAGAYTTTATGTAGATTATAAAATACGCAAAAGAAATATTGTAAAGTACTACACTCAATAGAAGATTCACAGCCTCCATTTCCGCTATAATTAATAATTAATAAATATTAAATATTAATGAGGGTAAGTAGAAGAAATAATAGAAATATTTACTAATACAATACATCACCTCATCAATTAGAAATTAGACTTAAAATACCAATTTCATGCTGACTTTGTTGCAAATTTTAATACCCAAAGTAAATAATGCAAAAAGTAGGCTGTCACACGTGCATTTTGAAATTATACTTTGTAATTTTTTCAATATATATATTACTATCTTAAATCCAACCTTGATTAAATTTTTAAAAGATATTTTTCGCTTATTCAATTATCAGTTACTTGTATAGAAAAATATATTTCATCTACTTGATACGAACAAAAATATATTTCATCTACTTGATACGAACAAATCTAAGTTCAGACAATGACGCATCCCTGTTTAACCACGCTTCTCGTTTCTCAATAGATACGTAATCTAGACATTAATGTTTTGCTTCTACCTATTACTCAACTCGGGTCTATCTTAAAYACCACTGAACAAACTCTTTTCATCTCACAATTTCTTATAAGTACGAACAATTCTATCATAATTCTTCTATTAGATAATTCGTAATATTTGAACATATAAAAAGAAAATGTAAGAATGGTAATTAGAACAATATATATTTTATAATTACATCAGCCAATATTTAATTACAATGTAAATAGTTAAGATAAGAAATCAGTAACACTTGCGTAATAAATGAAGAAAAAGAATAAAAGTGCATTGAATTGAATAAAACTTTGAGAAATTTCCTCCAATGCAAAAGAAACAAAAAAATCATAAGATGAATGAATGAGGTGGGAGTAGAGTAAGTAAGAAATGCAAGCAAGTGGTGACGTTGAGAGTGGAAAAATGAAAAGCAAACACAATAAGTAAACTCAGTTCTTTATTCATTTATTGCCCATCAATGTCTACGAATGGAAACTCCTTCAATTCCTCTTTCTCAACTATCTACTTCTCTCTCCCCTCCATCCTGCTATTTTCGACCAATTTATACGCATCTCGACTAATCTCACGAAACAATTACCCGTACTTTCATTACAAGTGACAACCATGGAGCTTGAACCCATTCTCCTAAAGCCACTAGATCAAACTATGGTGGTCGAGTCTATAATTTTAATGGTCATATTTCAAATTTACCTCTTAATCACGATACTCGATCAAGTATGTGCCGTTGTGTGACCTGCATTTGATAGGCATTTAAAAAAAATTAGGAGGGGGGTGGGCAAAAACTGAATAAGTCAAAGGAAGGCTTTAAAAAAGTCAACTACATGTTCTTCAACAATTCAAATTAGGATTCGTCCACTTAATATTATTCTCACCTTATTGGTGACTTGGTGAGAGATATGCATTGACTTAAGCAAGTACTGACTTTTGGTGTCATTTACACTGGATTTAGGGTATTAAGTGCAGCTTTATTTTGGCAGAAGCAATCTTTTTGATCTTATCCTTGAAAAACCATTGCTAGAAGGCTATCCTCCTTCTCTGGTCAAATGACAACAAACAAGCAGTCAAAAATGTAATTAGATTCTCCAATGTCCTAGAAACTAAGGGCAGCTACCACCCCATTTTTCATTACAAATGTGAAATGATCATCCAGGCAGCATGTCTCAAAGTTTTGGATATCAAAACCATTGCATCAAATAAAAAGGCTAGCATTAAGGCATTGCTATTACCTACTTCCCCGAGTCTCGAGATCTTCGGCATAATGCTGATGTGGACAGGAGAATCTTGGTGTTGGACAATTTTGCCCTCTGAAATGTAAATCCTGTACTTCTAATTTATGGTTGGGGGTAGTTGTTTAAGAGCACACCTGTAGTACAGAAAAGAACAAACCAAAACGGCTGCTTTTTAGAACAATTTGTTCACACAAAGAGAAGCCAAAAGTCAATGGCGTTAAACAATAGCCACCTTTTAGGAATTCTCTCTAGTTAGGCAAAAATAAGATCAATAGCAATAATAGTTCTACCTTCTTGTCAAATTCCCATTACAAAAGCGACGATTCTACAACCAAGTATGTGCTACTCAGTACTCCCCAATTACCAGTACATGTCCCTGTAGTCAAACATGCCCCATATATGAAACAGTTGAAGGAAAAGCCACTCGGTTGTTCCTCTACATCAATTTTCAATTTTGTCTTTTAGTTATTCAAAAGTCCAGAAATTGAATCGTACATACATCACTGATCACAGACGAAATTGAGAAATGATACGATACATTAGGGGCGAGAAATTATATATTCAGCGAAAACACAATGTTTGTCTGTTCCACTTTGGATGGCCCCAAAGGCCAAATAAAAATAGCTTTAATAAACAAACCTTTCAAGTATAAATGGAAGAGGTCCAGTCTAAATTTTACTTTTAGGGGTCATATATAGATATAGTTTCCAAGTTCCACAGCACAAGGCAAAACATAACCGTTTTCCAAATTTGGTTTCAGACTTTCAAACTCAAAACTCCGTAGCTTCCACGAAACTAAACTAATTCCAACCGCTAACTTTCCTCACCTGTGGGTGTACGGACCCCAGTAGTCAGCATAATACAGAGGTCCAATTGGAATTGAAGAACGCCATCTCTGAACTGCAAAGTCAAACAAGAAAAGCTCCATAAATATATATAATAATATCATTATCACATCATCATCCAACAACTTGCTTTACTTTATTTTTACACACGCGAGCCACACTCTCAGGACACGCCTATATGAGCAAACCATGATTTTTTTTTTTCTCCCCTCCCCCAATCAACAAAAGAAAATAGTCAAATGTTCTTACCAGCAATATTTGATCGTACAACGCGTTCCATGCTTTCAGTTTACACTTTACAGTAGATGCACTGTTTCTTTTACAACATTCCATATTTTTGTTTGTGTTCAGATTGATAAGAACAAAAGTTGCCCCCTCACCAACTAGTTCCTCTAGGAAAATTGTTGCTCAATGTAAATGGAACTAAGGTTGTTTCTGTGTAATTTCCCCCGGTTTTGTTGATACTCCACCTCGAAGAAGGGAGCAAACTTATGTCCATAATTGGGAATCTAACAAACCCATCAAGGGAAAACATGAGATAAACGAGAGAAGGGCACGATGATAGAATTCAAGGAAAATTTCCACTTCTGATAYAGCAAAATCAGCTCCTGTTTTGCAATTACTTCCAATGGTAATTGGAAAAATGGTGGTATTTTAGGGCGATCGTACGTTTAGCTAGACCAAAACCCCCAAAAATTCAAAGCTTACCAAATTGAACCTTAATGTCAAGCATAATTCAACAACTACTCGAATTGGATTCACAATCAGAGATCTATGATTATCAGAGAAAGAGACGGAAAAGAAAAAAGCGGTTTACTGGGCAATGACGACAGAGGCGGACTAGAATTTCTCGCATTCCGTCAAATGCTTCGCTTCCATTTCCATCAATCATCATAAAAAGCTATCTTCAGAGCCTCTGGATTTTTCTACTCCGATCCACGTTTCTTCCATTATCATCGTTTCCAGTCCAGCCACAGTCAGCCATCTTCGTCCCCAAACTCTAACCCAGAACATGACGAAGATACCGCAGTTGGGCTGGGCCTATGGTAGGCCCATTAAGGCGGCCTAAAATTGTTTTACGAAATTTGAGGGAAATTTTTTTAATTACAATTATATCTTGAAATTGTAACTAATAAAATTTTAAGCTTTCTAATTCTATGTCTAATAACTCTATGAATTTTAATAAAGTCGAATAGGTAAAATTTTATTAGACTCGTATTAAAAAAAAAAACTTATTAACTCCATTCTTTTGTCTTTTTGTAAGCATGGTTTAAATTACACGTTTCAAACGAATCAAAATACGAATTTATTTATGTTTACTAAAATCTATACAAAACTCAGTATTAGCAATCTGTAAGGTTTAATGACAATAGATATTTAAAAAACCATGAGACCTATGAAACACAATTAAAATTTTAAAGGCCTATTAGATACTTTTTTAAGTTAAAAATGTCTATTAGTATTGAAAGTTTATAGGAAAAAAAAAATTAAAACCACCCTGAATTATATGTACTATATTTTTAGTCTTGAACTTTTAACGAGTGATTACTCTCGAAACTTGTAAAATATTTATCCTTTGTTGTTATAATTCACTTCCAACMTGTTGCTATTTGAACATCAAACCTCTTAAACCGTTTTAAGTTAAACTATAGAGTTTTTACAATTATACTTTAAATCTATCAACTTGTTGCAATTAAATTCAGTCACTAATAAAATTTTAACAGTAGAATTTGATTGCAATGATTTTGCAAGTTTTAGGGAGGTAATAGCTAAATTAAAAGTTTGAGAGTGTAAATGAATCTTACCTCAATGGCTCACAATTAACTTTTACAATTTTCTCCTAAATTTATCATATATTTTAAGTAGTTTTCAATATTTTCTTATAACATTTATTTGTCTCAAAATTGACCTCAAAGGATATATATTTTTTTAAAAAAAACGATGACTAGTTTTTAGCATAATAACATTTTTACACGTCCATTTTGGACCGATGTAGTAAAGTTCATGTTTGTTTTTTCATATTTCATATTTCATATTCTCTTTTTTAATTAAAAAAACGACACGCTTCTTCTTTTTTAATTTAAAAAAAAGAAACATAATCATTTCTTGTTTATTGTTATCTTTTAGATTAAAAAAAAAAAGAAAATAAATTCTATGAAATTTAATTTTTCAAATTAAGTATGCTAATTTTTTTTATTTTTGTCATGCATTTTAGAAATAAAACATAAAATAATGCTTTCATCTATGTTTTGGAAAAAAGAATCGAAAACATGAATAAAAAACAAAAAACTTGATTTTGTTGTTTCCAAAATCTATACATAATTTTGGATACGTTTCTTAAAAACGAAAAAGGATAACAATTACTAAGCGCTTATGTTACTCAAAAATTGAAAATGATAAGTAATAAACAAGAAACTAAAAACAAAAGCGTTACCAAACGGGTCGTAATTRCCTCTAGAATATTCAAAATTAAACAAAAATTCCAATATAACTCACAACTGCATACCTACGGACCTTCACAGATGAATACMACTGCTATTTGGAAAAATACAGATACAGAAAACTTACTCATCAAACACTTTGCAGAACAAACAAGTTGAAAGTGGAAATTCTAGACATTATCATAGGGACAAAGAGCAGTGGTGAAGGTGAAATTTCTTCAGCAAAAAGTTTGCTTTGTTCTACAAAAATGGCTGCCAAAGCCAAACACAGCATAATGTTTGTAGAAAAAAGAAGTGGGTATCTGTTAAGGCAAATCATAATCACCAGAAATATAGATATTGAACTATGAATTAAATTTATGTCATCCAGAACAACTATTTGGACAGGTAGAACTTGCAGAATTTGAATCAACAGGAACACAGATCAATCTATGAAAAGGAAAGAAAGAGAAAAGAATCTTCAGATGCGGGTCGAGATCCTCCTAGGGAGGCAATTTTCCAGACAAGTACATGGAGAGCTTCTCCCTCACGACAGAGGCAGTATTGTCGACGAATTTGCAACTTTGTTGTCGGTAACCGGAGTCGTGATGATGAGACAAGGGCATCTCGTCTTGCACCTCGTCCTCCATATCGATCACTATATTGTGAAGTAAGCAGCAAACAAGAATGATCCTTGGTAGCCTGTGTTTATCAGGCTTCCACATTACCCCTTTAATGATCTTCCACATCTCTTTCAACCTTGTCAATGCCCTTTGAGCCACCAACCGGGTGGCGTAATGTCGCTTGTTAAACTCGGTCTGATAATCCGAAAGGCCTTTCCCTTGATAAGGAGTTAGTAGCCATGGCAAGAGGGGGAAACCAGAGTCTCCTATAATATACTCTCCTAGCTCTGAACTTTCTGAGAGCTTCATATTCTTTCCATTTAACCGCTCCCCATCTTGGGAAAGTTTGAAAAATCCCGAGCTTTGGAGCACAAGAGCGTCGCTCAGACTTCCTGGCCAACCCGCCATGATGTCACAGAATCTCATTTCTGGGTCTACAATCACTTGCAAGATCATGCTGCAGTTTTTCTCACGGTCAAGCCAGACGCCGTTTRCAGATTCTGCTGTTGGCAACGTCATCATAATGTGCGTTGTTTCGATTACGCCACAACAATTAGGAAGGCCTTTGATTTTCTTAAACTTGGACTTTATCTGATCCATATCTTCTTCTGTTGAAGGCCATGACAGATGGTGGAGCCCTTTCTCCTCCATCGCCTCCACAAAACGCCAAGTTATTTGGGAAACTGATGACTGATTCATTCCAAATGAATCACCAATAATTGATAATGATTCACCAGAACTAAGCCGCCTAAGAGCAACGGCGACTTGGTCGTTTACTGACAAAGGTTTCCCGTTTAAGTCAGTAAAATTGGAAGTTTTGGCCATCATAGCTTCCTTAACAAGAGAACAGATATAGCTGAATGTCTTTCTTGAAATTTTGAAAACTGACTCAAATTTTGTTGGATTCTTTGACTGGGATAATGGTCCTGATTGGAGGTAAAAATCATAATCAGATGCTCCGAGTCAGATATTCACAGTAAACATATAACAACCTACATTATCTGTGAGGCTAATTAATATCAGACCAAAATGTCCAGCTCATTGATCATCAAACAAAGATAAAGTGAAATTTTGTGAGCATAATGACAGAAGAAACATTGTAGAAATACTCGACGCAACAAAATAAAATGCGACGAAGTTGTTTGACCACACATTTACGTCAAACCCTTCGATTTTATACTAAAAAGTAAAGATTTACTTGTTATATCACAACTCGTGGCTAGAACAATGTAACTGCTAAATGAGCCAACAGGCCGAGCACTTCCTTAACATGAGTAAATTTTATTTTACTACACAGACTGATACTTCAGAAGACTCTGACAATTAAAAGTTAAAAGTCTTCATATAAACTAATTTATGGTGGACGTTCAGTTTATGAAGTCCAAATCATCTTAAACTGTAACCAACATTTCAGAAACATGAAATATGAAAATAAAACTGAACTCCAGATACAGCTGGATATATAACGAACGTCTACGAAATCTTCCCACTTTGATCATGTTATTTTATAGCTTCAAATCAAATATAAATCAAAATCTGGATATTGCGTTTGATGTTTCAATTGCCAACTTCTTAGTATTTCTGGGAATTTGTGACTAAAATTTGAGCCATTGTTGTTTGGTTATCAGCTCATCTAAGGTTCTTTATTGAAATACAAAAGTTGATGCATACAAGAACATAGTCCTGTTCGAATAGGTGGCATAAGAATTTTTGCTAAAATGGGTACCTGAAACATGTTTTTGACAATAGAGAGCAATCGCAACACCGATGAAGCACACGTCCAATTTGAAAGAATGCTTATATACTAAAGGCATTGGGCAAAAAGGGATAAATAACCAGATAAAAGGAAAGAATGAAGGACATTAGAAATGGAAATATGGAGGTAAATCATGATAAAGCTAATGAACTTCCTGCTAATTGGGAAAATATCCCTTGAAGTGATCAGTTTTAATCAGAGATTTTGAAAGGATCATTATGAGAACAAAATCAAGAAATCTAGTTTCGTACTTTTTTTTTCTTGAAATTTTCACAATAGAAAAACTTCAACTGCTGTCCTAATAAATTTCTGGGGGTAAACTTAGAAACCAACATAAATGCCAACTATAATTGTTTTTCCAAGCATGATGAAACCATAATTTTTTATGAGCATTAACCATTTATTTGCACTGTGATAATCAGGTATACAAAATAAAAATAGGACTGTCCTTGAATTCCAAATTTCTTATCATTCTAACTCCTGAAAATTGACGGTGAAAAATAAGTATCCATTTTGGAATACTAGAAACCAAGTCAGTTTTTCTATGTACATTTTGAAGATGCCTCAAAAGCAGCCACATAAGGATGTTTCGTTGCTTAAATTAATTAATTAAGATCATAAAGGGGTTGAGATTCTTAAGTCATAACAAGATCTCTAGGAAAAATCAGCTTACAAAATAGTATAGACCAACATATAATGAATTGGATTTCATGGAAATAGTTTTGATTATTTTAATAATAGAACAGAGAATAAAAACCAAGAAATTTGGTTTTCACAATCTCATGGTTTAGCATGCCTTCTAAGTTCTAACATACTATATTGACATGAACAATATATTAAGCTAATTCTCTTGTTTTCTATACATATAAAATGGCAGACCATAGAAAACAGAAGCTTGAAGACAAATATCGTTCTTCCCCTGCCCTTCTTYTCTGCATTGTGTTCATTATTACTTTCAGAGTCATCCTTCTATTTATTAACTACTTCGCTCCTCCAAATATCTGGATGACAAATTCTAACTTTAMAGTACTATATTCAGTGTGATATATTTAATTCAAAACAATAATGAAGACCCGGGTTACGGATCATACTGATCAGTTCTCTAAAGAAAATAATTGCCAGCCATGCTGAGACAAAATATTATAGAGGAACTTCAAAAGGATGATGGTGAAGATCAGGCAACTGGAGTGAAGTTCAACACAAAAATACTTAAATATATTTATTTCCACTTCAAAAGGATGATGGTGAAGATCAGGCAATTGGAGTGAAGTTCAACACAAAAATACTTAAATATATTTATTTCCTATTAGTGTTAATTACTTCATTAAGCAAAATATCATTTCAGTCATTAGCAAAGGAAATCAAGAGGACAATTGGGGATCAAATTCATGTGATAAGAAGGAAGGCCTACTCATGCCCACCTCGCAGAAGAAGAAAGGCCTTCTAAGACGGATGTTGGAGTTGTGAAAGAATTCTATTTGAATTCGATCCATAAAAATGAAGGGTGCCATATGGATATTTTTATATACCAATATTTAAGAAATCAACATTGTGGTTATAATTCCTATTTAACCCATTTTGAAAACTTTGTTGAATATAACCATAGATTAAACTAATACCCTACACCAGATAATCTGGCCAGTTGCTAAAACTAAGGAGAGGAGGAGATAATAATTAATCAACATTCTAATACAATAATCAATCTGAATCAGTTACAATGTCAGTGACAACCCATTCTTCAAGCAGCATTATCATCATTCTATATAAAGATCCATCTCAATGCAGATATAATAGAATGATCCATTCAATTAGAGAAATCACCAAGTAAAATCTCATCACGTCCTAACCGACATTTGAAAGATGCAACTCCTAAGAAACAATAACTTACTACAGCAAGTCGACCTCAATTTTCAACAATTCATTGAGAAAAAGAAGATCATTCACAAGACATCACAGTCTAAACTATAGAAACCAGTTAAGTGAGTGGCCACTACTTGTACACCTCAATTATCAAGTGAACTAACATATCTAAGTTAGTAACTGCTGCTGAATCAGATTTGATCTATCTCCATAGAATTCTAAAAGCAGTAATGCTAACCGGATCACTGCAACAGTGTGTCCCTTGTGACCCTCTCAATGTTATTAAGATGTCAAATAAAGAGTTCATGATTTAACAGATTATGGGGAAGAATACCACGGTTCTTTAATTGCAGAACTCAATATGATTACTAAACACTACATTCTACCGCCGTCCTAAAACCTCACCAAACGCAGAAAATTTTAATCGAGAGACCCAATAAGCAGCAAGCCACTAATAGCAATGGCAATGCACAAATTCAATAAAAAAGCAACAGAGAGAGCAAATTAATTAGCAAGTGGCAAAAGAGAAGCATAGTTCCAAGAGAAGCAAAATAGTTTACCAGTAATCCTCTGGGAGAAGTCGTCCCACCAATCCAAGGGCTGGGGCTGAGACGACAGTGAAGCAGCAGCCAAGACATTTTGGTCAACCTTCTTCTCTGCCTTCTTCTTCCTCTTGAACCCTCTAATGGGTCCCATTCGAAACTCCCAAAAATAATAAAAGAAGCACAGATGAGCCAAAAGCTGAAACACCCACTACAACCCACCACCAGAATCGAAGGATAGTACAGAATTCACATGAAGAAAACTCTCAGATTCGAAGCAAATGGAATAATAACACAAAAGGGTAGCAAACGAAGGACACAACAAGCATTTTTGGCAGACCCACAAAGGGGAAGATTGTAGTGCCTCTGAGGTTTTTGGGTTAGAAGGATATGTTTGGTATTGATGGGTGAGTGAAGTTCCTCTGGTTTTTGGATTTCAAAGCATGCAATAATAAATGGAAGAATATGAAATATGACTGTGAGAGAGAGAGAGAGAGAGAGAGAGAGAGAGAGAGAGAGATGGTGGAGAGAAGAAGTTTGGAGTAAGGCAAAGAAGTTGTAAAAAAGAAAATTGACGCGGGGCCAATTACATGTTGGGGGAAGGACAACAATCAACAATGTAGCCGAAGGAAAGGTAAAAAAAAAGAGAAATTGAAAAGAAAGAATTAAAAACGAGAGAGGGGGATATTGGCAACTTCCAATCTTCCCTTTCTTTACTTCTTGTGTGTGGTGGTGTTGATTAAAATTCTTTCCTTTCCTTTCTTCTCAAAATTTTCCCCTTGTGTTCTCTAATCTTTTGTCTTAATCTTTGTGTTGGGACAAATCTTTCATGATCTAAGTGGATTATCAAACTCCAAACCCCACAAACTATAGTGCTCTTTTTCTTCACCCATTTATCTGGCTCTCTCTTCCCCTTTTTTGGATTAAGAATTTTGTGTTAAAACAATAGTTGCCATATATATCAATTTTGTATAGTTTTATTTTATCATAATTTAAATGGTTAGGTATATAGTACTATTTATTTATTATTATTATTATCATCTTAGTTTGATAATTGCAGGACAGAGATTGAACCATCAACTTTAGATATTGTAATAGACGTTTATATCAACTTAACTATGCTTGAATTGGTTTTAGTATTAGTGCCACATTCTATAAATTTTAGGCTTAGTTCTTCTTCTCCTTAGTTATGTTTGTAATGTTCTAAGAAATAAAATTGATGTGTATAAAACCACTTCAATTATATGACATATTAATGTACCATGTGATTTTATCCATTTAAAAGACATCATATAGTACATGGGTTTTATTATAATATACATTTTCCCTCTCCAATGATAGCATGTTTGACATATTTAATTTTAATTTGAATTTTTGAAAATTAAAATTTTTGGTCTATATAATTTTTTTCCCATTTTCCCATTGCTGAAGTTAAATCTTACATATATATATATACATATATTTATCTTATATACTCAATGATTTAATAACTATCTGTACTCATGAATTAATAGTACATGAATAGTATTTTAAATTTATGTCGATGATATGAATAGGTATTTATGTTATAATTAAATGAAAAAATAAATCATGTCAAATTTTATAAGAGAAATAAGAATGATTTGATTCGAATTTCTCAAGAGTTTGAAAACTTAATTTTTAAAGTTTAGAATAATAAAAAGATAATAAAATTAATTTGATATTGCCCTTTTAAAAAAAAACCTGAGCTTGAAATATAAAATAAATAGAACTAGTTTTGTTTGTTTTGTGAAACCTAGTGTTTGAATAATATTGATGTTTTTGGGAAGGGGCCTTATCCTATTCAAAGGGTGAATTTAAGACTAAGATATTAAATTAAGACCAAAATAAAAAAAAAATGATGGCTTTTTGCCCTTTTATGACTTCTTGGTAATAATACTTTGGAGAAAGGAACATTGAATTCAACTAAAACAAACACCAATGCCTTAATATTGATTTCTTGTTGGTGAGTTTATTGGGCCTGGACCCAATCCTAGCCATGTTTAATGGGCTTAGAAGGAAAACTTCCATTATAATAAATTCGGGCTCTTTACATGTTTTCAGGATAGTGGAGCCCAAGRGGCAGCCCAATTGCCTAATGGTTCGAACCTTTTGGTGAGCTTAATAGCAAAACTTTTTTATGTCTCTGGGGTTCAGACTTTGTAGCAGACTCGAGTACTCCTGGGTCTAGGGAAGCAAAGCTCCGACAACCCTCAGTAGAAAAAGAAATTTGGGAGGGGAGAATTTCTCCGCACAATGAGAATGAGAATGAAATTTCTTATGAAGAAAAAAGTTTGTTCAAATTTTATCTTATTACAACAAAAACGTTATCAAATTTCTCTTTTAGAGATTCTATTAAGCAAAAATCAAAAGAAAAAAATCAAAGCGAAAACCAATTTCGATTTTAATGAGATGAATATGAAACTAAAAAAAAGGTGGAAAAGAAATTTGAAAATTTGAAAAACACAAGCTTACCCAGGGAAATTCTACTGCAAAGTGAAATTAGGGTTGGAAAGAAATGAAAATAAATGAATAAATATCTCTTATGGACAAAAAATAAAGGCTCTAAAATAAAGAATCAAATCTATTAATTAATGTACTAGATTTTTAATTAAAAATGGAAAAAGATTACAGAAGTAAAATAAAATAACTCAAAACATAATCAAATTAAATAAGAATATTTACTTTTGCGAAAAAAAGGGTATTTAGGAAAAGAAAATATAATATAACAAAAATTATAGTAGATCATTATATATTTAAAAATATTTAAACATAGTCTTCCGAAAAAAAAAATATTTAAACATACGGTGTATAATTGTGTCATAGTACATTTTTGACAATTATTAAATAAATTTTGGAGAATTTTTAAGTATCATTATATTATTATTAAATTTTTTTAGATGCATATTATTATTATGCTTTAAATGGATCATTATTAGTTCTTTTTAGGAAATGGATCATCATATTAATGTGGTTGAGTTGGATGTGATCTAGCAAAGAGATAAATTAATAGACATGTCACTAAGTATCTCATTAATGATATTATAATGGAGTAATTATTCAAATTTGAGAATATAATTGAAACGTTTTGAAAAGATATTAAGAAGAAAAAAATGGTAATAAATAAATAAATATATAATTACGCACGCATAGAATTAATTTTATAATTTAGCCAAAATATAAAGAGATAACTGACAAACCGATAATTATATTTTGATCTAAAAGATTTATAGATATTTTATTCTAGTTATTAAATATATAAATATTTTATCTTAGTCCTTAAATTTGGTATAAAAAATCATTTTTTTAGTACATATAAAAAATCATTTTGGAACTTGTTATTAATTATTCATTAATCAGCTAACATAAATATGAACGTGAAATCCATTGGCTTGTCTATGTGAATAATTTTTTTAAGCCACATGCAAATTAGATATTGAGTTTCAATCTGAATTTGGATGGTTGGGAATGATGAGTATTTTTATTCAAAAATCATAAGTTTGGTCACGATTATTAGAACCGCTTACGTGCAAACTCTTCTCGTGGGTTTGTAAAAGATACTTAGARGGAGTCTAAAACATCTGCTCACATCCTCGAAAATCATTTCTAAAATTAATTTCATTAATATTGCTTCCACGAGAGTGGTTTCTTCCATAGCACAATGATTTTATTTTCTTATCTAGTTTCATCTCCTTCCTATCTTTGCATAGATTACTATTAAAGCAATTAMCGAAAAATGAATGATAAAAATAAAAATACTCTTTATATAACGTTTCAAGATGAAAAATGRAAAACTCGAAAGATGAGAAACCAAATAAAGTATATTTTAAACTTTAAAAACTAAAATAGAATAGGTTAAATGACAAGTTTAGTCACGAGTAAATAAGTCTTTGAATTTAAAAAGTATCTAAGGCCCGTTTGTTAATGTTTATAGATTTACARCTCAAAATAGGATTTGAATTCATTTGGTGTTTGTTCCAATACCTGAATATCCATGACCTTAGTTTGCCAGAACAAATAATTAAAAACATGATTCCAATTTAAGAAATCAATGCTTGTCCTTTTCAATTCCATAGATACAATTTATTAAATTAAACATAAAGGAGGGCAAAACAAATTAGAGAAAAGAAAAGAAAAAAAAAACCACTCAAACAGGGCTACACATCCTGTACGGCAAAAACAGAATACCTAATCCTAGTCGTTACGGCACTTATTTGCAAGAAACAGATATCGAATCTGCGCTTCAAACGTCTCTTAATGTTTAACTTTTTCAAAACATAAATTAAGAGTCGAACTTACAATTTCTTAACTATATTCATGTTGGAAATATATCACAATTAAAATAAACTCAATTCACTTTGTCTAACTAACTTCAATAATTTAAAATGAGTCGTTCTTTTAGTACAACACGTAGAGTTAAACATTCGAATTCAAAACCTTCAAGTTTGATATACGTGTTGAAATATGCGTAAATTTGCATCTAAATTGAGTTGTTGATATAGAAAACTGACCCGTTAAAAAAACTATACGCTTATAATTGATCCTCAAAAGAAATTTTGGAGAAAAAAAAACCTAAATTAAACCCTAAGAGCGAAAAATTGAGAAAATATATGAATCGAAAAACCTTCAATTTTGGGTGTTACACGTGATCAACTGCATCAGAACCGTTGATGCCTTCCACCTGTTGCTCTTCCCAGTCGTCTGATTTCTCAAATCAGCCGCTCCATCACAATCCATAGACCTGAAGCTGTCCGATCTTCCAACTCCAGAATTTGAAAATCCCTCTCCGCCACATTCCTCGCCCGCTCCGCCGTCCGTCCATCTCCGTCGCCTCTCGCCGGTCTGCGTCGAGGCGTTTGTGCCGCTTTCGCCGGAGATTTTAGCCTTGTAGACTACGCTCCGGCAAAGGTCTTCCAGCGAATTCCACGGCTGGTTGTTTCTCTTCAGAGCGACGGGAAAGTTCGAATCCGTGCTCGAAGTGTTTGTTTCTGAGGAAAATTTGGACTCGGAAAACGAAGACGATGTTTCACATGATCGGAAACTCGAAGACGCCTCTAGCAATAGCGCTGTTCCTTTGAGAATGTATTCTTGACCTTGAGACGGATTTATCAAATCGTCGTCTGATAAGTCTTGCCATACGAATCCATTTCTGTACCTCCTGAAAAATGTAAGTCCTCGATCGATTTTAAATTTGTAATTCTTGTTTGATTGGTGAGAAACATATTCACTCTCTGCAACCGTTTCTTCTAAGGAAACAATCAGAAACCTAAAGGAGAAATTGAAATTAATTACCGCTTCGAAGACCACGAATAGAGTCTGGAAAGGCCGTCTCCTCGGAGTACATCTAGTCGTTTGATCACGTCTGAGAAGCAAATCGGATCGAAAAAGTCGTTTCAATCGAAAATTGACAAATGAAAAACAGAGCGCTTCTCGCTTTCTTCGCCGCAGCAAATTGAGAGGAAATGAAGAAACAAATTCAGTTTACCTCTGAGGAGAAGTCCTCGGGAAGAAGAGAGAGGAACCTCGAGCAAATGAGGATGCTCAAGTTGACCATGGCGGGAGAGGTAGTAAATGACRGGGACGGCTTCTTTAGGTTCTGTTTTGAATTCTGTCAAGGTTTTGGCTTCGGCTCTTCCAAGACATAGACTCCGTTCTCTGCTCTGCCGTTCACTTGGCGTCAATGTCTCTCTTCTTTCTCCCGCATTGGCCGCCATGAAAATGAAGCAGATTGAAAGAAAGGAGGAAGAAGAAGAATGACGCCAAATTGATGGTGGGATAAGAAGGCTTGTGAAGCTTTATAAAAATTGCTCATTTTTTGTGCTTATATAAGCATAGAAACCTATAGCAAAAATGAATAATGAAGATATGATTTATTTAAATAATTCTGTCTTTAAAAGACAATCAAAATACTTAGGTGTTGGTGTTAGTTGAGACAAGTAATAGTAATCTAAGTTAATATGTTAGGGTCTATTTTGTTTTGTGTTTTATTCGAACTCACAATCTTATGCCAACCAATTATGTTCGTTTTGAGTTTCACATAACATGTCAGGAGAGAGTAGACCAATTAAATAAAATAAAATGAAATGACATAATACAAAGCATGATCACTTTATATTATTATGATTTATTTTCTTTTGTCAATCACACTAAATTAATCAATGTTTATTCAACAAACATGTTACACCGTTATTTAAAATTATAGGGTCGGAAATAATTGTAAATAAGAAAAGAAAATTCTCGAGCACGAGGTTTCAAATTGAAAAAAATTATGCGTGACGCAAAANAAGAAAGAAAGTATGAAATGAAGTGGGAGAAGGTTTGTTTGTGTAGTGAAAAAACATGACAGTAGAAAGCAGGGAAGCAAATTGACGAATTTCCGAAAATTCCAAGGCTTAAACCAGGGAACCTGATGGACAAAAATCCAAAATTGCACCCACCACCTATTAAATTTTTGGACGCCGCACCCACCTACTACTTTCTTCTCAATTATTTTCCTTTTTCTTCTTTCTCCTATCCTATTAAATCCTAGGTTTAAACTTTAAACACCATTAAACATGTCTTTCTATTTTTAAAATTTATTTATTTAGTTTTTATACTTTAAAAACGTCTATTTTGATCCATCTACTTTTGAAAAGTAATTATTTTGATCAATTTAGTTTCTTTTTTGTCTTATTTCTTTCAATTTTAGTATAATACTTTGTCCATGAAATTTTTTGAAATGTAGCCATAAATTTGTATTACGTTGTTTCTAYTGTGCGTGTTAAAATTTTACAAATAGGAATCAAATTGACCACGATCAAAATTGACATTTTAAAAGTATAAAGTAYTAGAATTAAAATAAAAATGTTGAAGGTAAGGAGATAAAAATAAATGTTTAGAACCAAACCGAACATAACTCAAGTGGTTAAGGCACCAAATAAACTGCAAGCAAAGTTTAGGGGAAAGACCCACCAAACTAATTAATACCCAAGTTTCAAGTTAAGGTCTGCATAATTTGGAGTTAAAAAAATAAACTGATGCAATATTTGTTATGTGAATTAAAGTTAAATTATAAACTTATTCATCGGAAGTTTCAATAGACTCTCTATGATTTCTTCGATTGATATAGTTTGATGATACCACATAAGTTATTCTTAATGATAAAAAAAAACTCACTTAATTTCTTAGATTTTTCACTCGACCCTAAATCTTAATACAACTAATTAACCATGATGACTTGTGAAGTTTAACTAAACTAAACTAATTAACCATGATGACTTGTGAAGTTTAACTAAACTATTGAGGTAAAAAATAGAGATTAAACTAAAACGAATTAATAGAAACCAAATTGAAACTAAATCCAAAATATAAACTAAATTGAAACTCTTAAAATTATTGAAACCAAATTAATATAAATTAAATTGAAACTAGTTACAGAAATTTATTTCGTAAACCCATGCTTATTAACTATGAAAGGAGAGAGGATCAACCATCTACAATTCAAGAATCAAGTTCTATCGCCTTAGTTCTAAACGAAGAAATAAATTTGGTAAAGCACTATRTTTGGGACTCAAAATTCAGATGAACTAAAAAAATTAATGAAAACAAGAGCGAACTAATTCAATGTAAAAAAAAAATTCTTTTCCAGTCAGATTAAAATATATTAAGCTTTCTGTAAGTGAAATTCAAAATATCAGATTACATAGCATACACTGCAAAAATAATTTCAACAGTACACTAAATTTTTCTGGCTAACAAAAAATAAAGAGAAGGCGTTCGTTGTATTCAACTTGCAACTGAATTCTCAAGCTGCTTCTTAGGACAGTTGGAAGAAAGATGGCCTTTTTCACCACATTCATAGCATGTTCTTCTTCTTATTTTACCACTTACAGAGCTTAATCCACTATCCGCTTCCTTCATTACAGGTTCAGGTTTTGGATGCGTTTCTGCTGCTGCTGCTCCTCCTCCTACAGGTTCAGGTTTTGAATGTGTTTCTGCTGCTGCTGCTCCTCCTGCTCCTCTTTCGGTTCCTTTCTTAGGAACTGCACATCTTATCTTGACGGGTCTGCCGTGAATCGTCTCCTGGTCTAACTTCAAAGCTGTTTTTAACGAGACACTGTCAGAGAAATCAACGTGGGCATAGCCACGAAACTCCCCTGTTTCCTTGTCCATGCCGAAACGTATCGATGCAATCTTACAGTTTGAGAAGAGTTTCTTCAGATCATCCTCAGTTACATCCCATGACAGATTGCCCAGATAGATTCTGTTGTAGCCTTCCATGATTCCGGGAGAAAAATCAACTGCTTTATTCAATCGAGTTCCCTTGTAGGGCTGTACTTTAAGGAAGAGTCCACCCCTACATAAGAAATAATTGGGAATAAGGTAATAAGTATAAGGGAGACATGAGATCAAATTGCACAGATTCTCACATGTCAGCTCCGTCCATGGCTAGTGCTCGTTTCGCTGCAGCTTCTGTCTGCAAAAGGAAAACAGTGGTAAGGTAACTCAAAAAACAAAAGAAATCTGGCCTCCAAAATACCGCCTAAAACAACTTTGGTAATTGGT